CGTTGGAGATGGCGTTGAAGATGGCGTTGACAATGGACGAGACACAGCAGCGCTGTTGAGAGCTCCTGTGTTCCAGATCACGTGCTGGAGAGTTGTTGCATGGAGTTAAGCAGAGAAGCACCTACAGGAACTGCAGGGTGCCACCTGCCGTGGGATTGTACGCCGGCCCTAAGTACCGCGAACCACTGATCTCACTACGGCGAGAAGACGGCCGCCACATAGGACATCCGTAAGTGGTGCAGCGTACAACTTGTTGGGTGCTCAACATCGACTGCAGGATACTCTAGTCACTTGGAATCCCTCACTGGGGCGCCGACGGCCGATATTCCTTCAGATCCCACCCTCCAAGAGGCCGACCTCTGTCCTGGTTGCAGCTCAGGACCACCGAGCATCCGGCGGTCCACCAGGGAGAGGTTGGCAATATGGATGATAATGCCGACAACATGTGACGACACTGGTTGCCGTCGGCGGACCGACGGCGGGATGGACACACATCCCACGGGGGGTTAGGAGGATCAGCGTGAGCAGGGCGCATGCGCCCTCGCCCCGCTGATCCGTCCACACCTCGCAGCGCCGTTTAGGGACGGATCCCTGACCGCAACCATCGGGGGCGACAAACGGTAGGTGCACCTACCGCCGGTCAACCCCCTTCGAATGAGACCGCACCCCCTTGCGGACTCCGGTCGCATGACGTTTGGCGGGTCATTTCTGACCACGAGGAAGGATGTGCAAGGGCGCCAGACGGACTACGTCCTGGCGCCCAGGGGCCCGGCTCCTCCCCTGGCCCCCCTTCCTGGTGGTCAAGCTCCTCGGCCTGCTCAAGACCCCGGGTGCACCCCCGGCCACGGGCAGAGCCCGTGACTGGTTGCTACCCTTCACCCGGTGCCCTGAGCGCGGATGAAGCCGAAGGTCGCGCGACCCCAAAAATTACATTGTCCACGACTCCCGCACTGTCCAAGGACACCTCATGTAGGGGGTCTCCCGGGGTGTGCACTATGTCATCCACACCACAGCCCTGTTTGTCACCGGGACTCCCGACCGCGAGCCTGCGAGCGGGAGGGGTAATTCCGGAGGGAGGAGTCTGTGTGTGTGTGGGGGGATGTATGTGGTCGTGGTGCCCAACTCGTCCTCCCGAACAGTGATCTCTCGCTTCATCCCTCCCTCCCCCCTCCCCTCCCTCTCCCCCCCTTCCCCGCACACACTCATTGCACTTCCCTTTGCCTCCCTCTACCCGGAGAATGAGCTTATCCGTCACGCACACCATCTTTCCCTCACACACTACCATCTGTCTACCTGTCTAACACCCCGACCTCGTGCCTTGCCCCTGACGCGACAATACTCGCCAAAAATGTCGCAGCCACACGTGCATGGCCCCCCGCCCCCGCATTCCCCCGCATGGGTGGGTCAGAGGCGACCACGTCGACACATTCGTACACTCCTCTCTCTACCCCCTGTCACTCTGCGTTCGACAGAAGGTCGGATGATGGTTGCAGGCGTGGTAGTTCTCGCCATACTCGCCTTGGCCCTGCCTCCATGCTCCGGTGAGTCGCATGGTCTTGGTGTCCCGGTCGAAGCAAAGGCCGCGGACATTAGCCGGAGTGATGGACATATGATCCACGGCCGAGCTGGCGGATACATCTCCCGCGGTGCGGCGCTGCATCTGCATCACGCGTCAATGTCCACGCTGCTCGCTGCTCCGCGGTCGTCATCGTCGGCTGTGGACAAGACTCGCCGCGCCCAGTTCTTCATCACCACCGCTGCTCATCCGTCCGACGCTCTCATCGCCGCTGTGCGCCCTGCTCTTGTCGGCTATCTCCCGGCACGGACTCTGCATGTTCACTGCGAGTCGCAGTTTGTCGACGACTTGCTCCTTCAGTTTGACGAGATCGTCTGGGTCGGCGATGTCCAATCGCGTCATCGCAGGCCGCGCGCCCGCCGCCGCCGCACTTCCCAACCGTCTGCCCGGCTTGACCTGATCGTCGACCTCTCACCCGTTACTGTCGCCCATGAGGCATCCAGCGAGCTGCTTTCCCGCATCCGTACCGTCCTTGCCCGCTGCGTCGCTGAAGCCGACGTGGATCAGCCCTCGCCGCGAAAGCTCAGCATCACCATCACTGGTGCGGACGCCGCCAGCGTTGAGTGCGCGCTCGACGCCCTCGCCTCGGACTCGACCGTCGTCGCTGTCGAGCACCGCTCCGAGTATGAGAGCATGAACCGGCACGCTGCTTCACGCGGGCAGGCTGGCGATCCGTCCGGCACCGCCTTTCCTTTTTGGGACGCCGGCATCACCGGCGCGGGTGAGATTGTGGCCGTTGCCGACACCGGTATCGACACCAACAACTGCATGTTCCACGATCCATCGACGCCGCTGGCCTACGACACGCCGCTCGCGGCCCATCGCAAGCTCGCCATGTACATTAGGCACAAGGCCGAGCTGGCCTTTGAGACCGATGTGCCGGCCGGCCACGGAACCCATGTCACCGGCACCGTCGCCGGACTGGCAGACTGGAGCGCCTCCGCCTCCGCCAACGCCACCACCAACGCCAACAAAGGTCTCGCCTATGGTGCGCGCATCATCATGTACGACTTTGGCGACGAGTCCGAAGCGCTCCATGTTCCTGCCGATCTCACGGATCGCTTCTTCAGCATGCCGCACGGAGCCGGCGCCCGCATCCACACCAACTCGTGGGGCTCGACCGGGTACTCGGGCTACAATACCCACGCCCGCGACGTCGACACCTTTACATGGAGCAATCCTGACATGCTCGTCATCTTTGCTGCCGGCAATCACGGTTCCGATGGCTATTCCTCTGTCCGATCGCCCGGTACCGCCAAGAATGCGCTCAACGTCGGTGCCCTCACCTCGACGGCTGATGCCTACGCCGCGAGCGCCAAGTACCGCTACGCGCTCATGGCGTCGGATGCCGCCTCAGGTGTGCTCGTCAAGGCCTTGTACGGCGCACGGATGGTCGGCACTGGCATGGACGGTAGCATCACCGGCCAAGTGGTGATCATTGAGGCCTGCGACGCGCCGCTAGCAGGTGTCAATGGCAAGATTGTGCTCCTCCTCTGCCCGTGCAGCATCTGTTGGGACGCGTGCCCGTCTCTGGCGCCTCATGACTCGTGCGCCAAGTCCATCCAGGACGCAGGCGCGCTGGCAGTCATCCACGAGAAAGCGTGGTACATTGTGGGCGTTTCCGACACCCGGTCGGCGACTACCATTCCGGTCCTCATCGCCGACGGCAACGCGACCCTCACTCATGCGCTGCATGTGGCCAACGCCACTGGCAGCCTCGTCACGCTCTCCAACTACGACGGAAGCGTGCCGGCGTCGCCGTCGCCGGACGATATGGCTTGCTTCTCGTCGCTCGGGCCAGTCCGCGGCGAGCTGCGAATCAAGCCTGACATTGTCGCTGTCGGCGATCCGGTTATCTCTGCCCATGCCAATGGTCCGGGCAGCACCCCGTTCTGTGGCGAGAGCGCCGCGCTCCGTCCCGAGTCCGGCACCTCGATGGCTGCCCCGGCAGTGGCCGGCCTGGCGGCGCTAGTGCGCCAGCATTTGCGATCGTCCATTCCGTCGCCGTCAGGTGCACTTGTCAAGGCCTACCTTCTCAACTCGGCGAGCGCCACACCCGGCTCGACTGCATCCGTGCCCCGATCTCCGCTGGATCCGTTGGGCGTGTGCGCGGTGGCGCCGGCGGCGTACGATGCTGCGCCTACCCTCGTCCGCCGCTGGGGCGAGGGCTTTGGTGCTGCCAACCTCTCCGCGGTGGGTGATTTTCATTTTGTTGACATCGGCCCGCAGCCGGCCGGCACCTCGCTCACCTACTGCTTCTCGGTCGCGGACAAGACTTCAGTCTCGGCCACGCTCGTGTGGACCGATCCGCCGGCATCGTTGGCGGCAGCCGTCACGCTTGTCTCTGACCTGGATCTCACCCTGACTGCCTCGGACGCGGTGTATGTCGGCAACGTTGGTCCTCGTGATCAGGTTACCTACGATCAGGACAACAACGTCGAGCGGATCCGCGCCGTTGTCTCGGGCGCGTTCTCCCTCCGGGTCTTTGTCAACGCCGCGCCTGTCGGCCCGCAGCCGTTTGCGCTGGTGGTCAGCGGCGGAGGCGTGGTTAGCTTGGGATCGTGCCCGGCCTCGTGCCCATCCGCCACTGCCAGCGAGTGCTCCGGCTCTGGAAGATGCAGCACTGCCACTGGCCGCTGCACGTGCGAGCCGTACGCTGCCGGCGCCGACTGCAGTATTTCGGTCCGCGAGTACGCGGTTGGCATCGACTCACTTGACTTTGCGCTCCACGCCGGCGAGTGGGACTTCGCGCGTTTCCCGCTCGCCCGCGTTCCCGACGGACAGGGCATTGTTCTTGCTCTCTCCAAAACATTTGTGTTTGTCGAAGGCTTCTTTAGCTTTGCTGGCATCCCTGATCTGCACACGGCCGAGCTCTCGTACTACTTTTACTACGACAACTCGTATCTCATCCCGGCGGCGGCCGTAACGAGCGCCAGAAGCTCAGGCGCCACGCATCTGAACATGGCGCTGCGCGGGCGACAGTACGCCGGCCTCTACTATGGCAGCGTTGCTAAGAGCGTGTTTGCCATGACGGCAGTCGCTGCATCGTCCAAGCCGCCGCCGCCGCCGCCGCCGCAGCATCCGCCTGGCCCGCGCACGCTCTGCAGCGGGCTGGAGACCATCAGCTCAGCCAACGGCAGTTCGGGTAGCATCGCCGTTCCAGCACCGTACCACGGCAGCATTCCTTACGGCAACGACATGGCATGCGCGTGGCAGATCTCAGCGCCGGGCAAGGACATTGCCCTCCACTTTTCACGGTTTAGCACCGAGGCCGGCTACGACATTGTCACCATCGACGGCCAGCAGTATAGCGGGGTCCACCTTGATCTCACCGCGTCTAGCTCGAGCAACATGTCCATCGAGTTTACCTCCGACGGTAGGACCGCGCGGCCTGGCTTCAGTGCGCGTTGGGCAATCGGGACCCGGTCGCCGCCGGCGTGCAAGGCGCCGATGGTGATCAATGCAACAACATCTGGCGTTGCCGGAGCTCTCGAGCTGCCAGGCCCGTACTCGGGTGTCCTCGAGTACGCCCACAACCTCGAGTGCGAGTGGCACTTTGACTTTCCGGAGCAGAGCCTGGTCCTCTCTTTGGACAAGAGCGCGTTTTCAACCGAGTCGGTCCACGACTACGTCACCATCTTGCCAGCCGGCGTCGTGGTCTCAGGCAGTCTGGCAGCATCGTCGCAGATGGTAGTCCCGGGCGATGCAATTGTTCGCTTTCACTCGAACGGCGACGAGGCTCGGACAGGATTCTCGATTGGATGGGCTCTGGCCGGCACGCCGCCACCACCGGGCACGGGCGCGCCGCCGCCGCCGCCGGACTCTGACAAGAGCTCGAGCTCGAGCGGAGCAGTGGCTGCCGCAATCGCGATTCCAGCAGCAATTGTGCTCGCTGCAAGCCTTGCGGTCGGAGTGGTGTACTGGTGGCGGAAGAGCGGGCAGGCTGGCCAGACACTGTCATCGTTTGTGGGCGAGCGGCTCATGTGCCGTGGCGCATCGACGACGCCGGCCGGTGGAGTGGGCGATGTAGAGATGGAGTGCTAGCTCAAAGCACGTCGTATTGAAGGCACAGGGAGCATATTTTTACTTGCGCGGGCGGCTCCGAATCTCATCGTCGGGAGTCGGGTGGAGGTAGATCCAGGAGCCCTCGTTCTGCTTGTAGGAGGCAGCACCCTTGGACCAGTCGTAGGAGACGGCGTAGGCGTAGATGGAGCCGTCGCGGTTGAAGGAGGAGGCCGAGATGGAGTTCTGGGCCTGCTTGAAGGCCTTGAGGCGCTGGCGCGAGTCCTTGTCCCAGAACAGGTATTGGCCGTCGGAGCCTGCGGTGGCAAGGGTGCCGAAGCGCGGGTGGAAGCTGATCGAGTTGACGGCAAAGATGTGGTTGTTTCGGGTGTTGCGGTGGCACTTGAAGGCAAAGTTCGAGTCGTCGTTGCCGTCGATGTAGCGGACGGCGACGCGGCCCTCGATGGAGCCTGCGGCGTAGCCCGAGCCGTCGATGAAGCAGTCAATCGAGCGAGTCTGGTACTTGAGCGGCGACGGGGTGGCGCCGTAGATCTGCTGCGGGGTGCGGAGATCGAAGAGCACCATGGGCTTGTCGGTGCCAAGGGCGCAGGCGGCGACACAGAGCATGCCCGAGTGCGACATGCAGCGGACACGCTCGGGCATCTTGTGCGAGCAGACCGGCTGCGGCTGGCGGAAGTCCCAGAAGCGAAGGGTGGCGTCCCACGAGGCGGTGACCAGCGTGTTGAGCGAGGCGCACCAGAACATGTCCGAGACCGGGCCGTCGTGGGCCCCGACTTGGGTAAACTCATTGGCGCCAAGGTCCCAGCCCATGACCGCGTTGTCGCACCCGCCCGAGAACAGCCGCCCGCCCTGCTCGTCCCACGCCGTAGCCAGCACCGGCGCCTGGTGCGTCTGCTCGGCAAGCGGGTTGGTGGCCCCGGTGTTGAGCACCTCCCACACCCTCACACATCCGTCCCAAGCCCCCGCCGCGAGGTGCTCCGCCGCCGGCGACCACGACAGCGTCGACACCCCGTCCGACGGAGGCGACGCCACCTCATAGTCATTGTTCGGGTTGCTCCGGTTCATCCTCTACAAGTCCCACCCTTGCTCTGCAAGAGTCAAGTTCTGCCTTATGAACCCCCCTGCACCTACCCCTACCCCTACCCCTACCCCTACCCCCGCGTGCGCGTATCCTTCGATGACCGCCCTCCCGCCAAGTCGCATTGATCACTCTGCCGAGTGGCAGCCAGCCAGCCAGCCAGCGAGTCACCCGCTCCGCCAGCCACTCACCCAGCCAACCAACCAGTGAGTCACCAAATTCCATGAGGCATGATGGCCTCACCAACCACGACCAACGACAGCTTCGGCCACGACCACGACCACGACGACTATGACCACGGGCCACGGGCCACGGGCCACGGGCCACGGGCCACGGGCCACGGGTCACGCCCACAGCCACCTTTCTCTTCACCCCACTCCACCCTACCTCTACACACCCTGGGGTGCACTCCACCCTCCCTCACCCTTCACCCTCCACCCTTCCCCCCCCCCCCCCCCCCCCCCCTTCCCCCCCAGTCACATGTCGTACGTCACCGCTTGCCGTCCCACCACCACCACCTACCCTGCTACCACCACCACCACTATGCTACGCAAACACGCACACACACACACACACTCACACACACATGGAGGGGGGGGGAGTTCAGTTTGGGAAAGCTGCCGTCTACGGCACCGTGGGATGTGCCGTCGGCATGGGAGCAGTTGACGACGGAGGACGGACTGACGTACTACTACAATGCGGCGCTGGACGTGACTCAGACGGAGCAACCGGCGTGTCTGGCTTCGGCGATGGACTCAATAGAGACCGATGACTACGTTTGGGTGGCTGATGCCAAGCATGGCTTTCTGCCGGGAAGAGTCCTCGAGGGCTCCATCGACGCGCCAGAGCTGGTGGAGACCGAGCTCGGCAGGCAGGTCCGGATCAAGGCCTCGGCGCGGCGGTCAGGCGCGCAACCGTGCTATCCGCTGCGGCGGGCGGCACTGCGGGCTGATCACGACGACTTGGTGCAGATGGGCGTTATTGATGAGGGCATCATTCTCCACAACCTCGCGTCGCGGTTCAAGCGCGACGTGATCTACACCAACATCGGCTCGATTCTCATCGTGGTCAACCCGTACAAGTGGTTCAAGATCTACGGGACCGATGTCATGGAGTCGTACAGAGCGGCTGCGGCGGCGCCGGCGTCGTCGGCTCCGCTCCCGCCGCACATTTTTGCCATTGCCGCCAACGCATACACCGCCATGTCGGACGCGCTGACCAACGGCTCGCCGCCAAACCAATCGATTCTTATTTCGGGCGAGTCTGGCGCCGGTAAGACCGAAGCAACCAAGCAAGCACTGCGGTACCTGGCACACGTGGCCGGCTCGTCGGTCGACGGCGTCGAGTCGCGGCTGCTCAAGGCCAACCCGCTGCTGGAGGCGTTTGGCAACGCCGCCACGCTCCGCAACTACAACTCATCGCGGTTTGGCAAGTGGATGGAGGTGTTTTTTGACGACTCGCGGGCCATCGTCGGCGCCAACATCACCAACTACTTGCTCGAAAAGTCGCGTGTGACGCAGCAGGCGCCCGGCGAGCGCAACTACCACATCTTCTACGAGCTGTGTGTTGCTGCGCCGCCGGCGCTCAGGAAGCAGCTTGGCCTCGGCCCGCCGTCGTCGTTTGCCTACACCTCGACGACGACGACCATTGCCGCCAAGCACTGGTCCGACGCCGCCAACTTTGCCGAGGTCATGGACGCGTTTTCCGAGATGGGCATGGCCGACGTGGTCGAGCCTGTGCTCTCGCTCGTTGCCGCCGTCCTGCACCTCGGTAACCTCGAGTTTGTGCCCGGTGCGGCAGAGGGCGCATCTGCGGTGGCCTCGCGGGCTCCGCTCGGCCATGCCGCCCGTCTACTGGGCGTCGCCGAGGACGCGCTCGAGCAAGCATGCACTGTGCGGGCGCTGCGCATGGCGCGGCGTGAGACGGTGCTGGTCCCGCTCTCACCGGCCGACGCGGCCAACAACCGCGACGCGCTTGCCAAGTCGCTCTACTCGCTGCTCTTTGACTGGCTGGTCACCTCAGTCAACGCCTCGATTGCCGCGCCGCCCGACGCCTCGGTCGCGGCCTCGGTCGGCATTCTGGACATCTTCGGCTTTGAGATTTTCGAGACCAACTCGTTTGAGCAGCTCTGCATCAACTACACCAACGAGAAGCTGCAGCAGCACTTTAACCAGCACACCTTTAAGCTCGAGCAGCAGCTCTATGCTGCTGAGGGCATCTCGTACACCGCTGTTACTTTTGTCGACAACCAGCCGTGCCTTGACCTCATCGAGGGCAAACCGGCCGGCATCCTGCATGTTCTCGACGAGGAGGTGCTCGCGCCGTCGGGTTCGGACGCCCGCTTTGTCGACAAGCTCCTCACCAAGCACGAGGGCAAGTCGGAGCGGTTCGGCCGCGCGCTCTCGGTCGCTTCGGGCTTTACCGTCCACCACTACGCCGGCGCAGTCGCATACGACGCGACTGGGTTTGTGGAAAAGAACAAGGACCGGCTGGAGGATGACTTGCTGACGCTGGTTACGGCCTCGACGTCCGATTTTCTCAAGTCGCTCTTTGCCACTGCGCGCGACTCTGCGGCGTCGAACCGCAAAAAGTCGATCGGCGCCCAGTTCCGGACTCAACTCAACGACCTCATGGAGGAGCTCAACGCGACCGAGCCGCACTATGTGCGGTGCATCAAGCCCAACTCGGTGAAGAAGCCTGCGGTGTGGGACGGCCACGACTGCCTCATGCAGCTCCGCTACGCTGGAGTCTTTGAAGCCGTCGCCATCCGGCAGACCGGCTATCCGTGGCGGCTCGCCCACGCTGCGTTCATCGGGCGCTACGGCATGTTCAACAGCTTCAACCGGGTCGGCGCACCGGCTCAGATCTGCGGCGAGATCATCGCCGCCGCCTCACCGGCGCTCTCGTCGTCGCCTGACATCCAGATCGGGCGGACTCGGGTGCTCTACCGCGCCGCCGCCCACAATGTGCTCGAGATCAAGCGGTCGCTGGCGCTGACCAAGGCGGCGCTCTCCATCCAGCGGGTCTTCCGCGGCTTCCGCGCGCGAACGCTGTACGCCGCCATGCGTAGCGTGTACCTCCAGCTTAAGGACGCCATGGCGACGCGGCAGCTGGCCAAGCTCCGCCCGGCGGTCAACGCCGCCCGCGCCATGTGGTTCCAGCTCGGCATCACCGACACTGCGGAGGCTCTCTGCGTCCAGCTCGAGGATGAGGCTGAGCTCTCGGTCCTGGCCGCCGCGCTCGTCGACAAGGACCCGGAGAGCCATTACGAGCAGATCATGAGCGTCATCGGCAAAGCCGACAAGTACGCGCTGGCGCTGCCGGAGCTCGAAACGCTCCGTGCCAACGTGGCCTCGATTCACGTCCGCAAGCAGGCACTCAAGGACATTGTCGACGGCACGGCCGACCATGACCGTGAGCGCATCACCAAGGGCCTCTCAGTGGCAGCTTCGCTCGGTCTCGACGTCTCGTCGCTCACCGGGCCAGCGGACGTGGCGCTCAAAGCCATTGCCGCCGAAGAAAAGCTGCTTGCTTCAGTTTCCTCAGTCCTCTCTGCAGCGTCGCCACTTGCTGGCGCATCGGCTGACGCGCTGGACGCCATCGTGGCGTCGACGGCGCCGCTCTCTGCGGCGCTGGCCAAGCTGCGCGGAGCGCGGGTGAAGACGCCGGCCGGCCGCGAGCTGCTGGCACAGGTGGAAACCACGCTTGCGCTGCGGACCGCCATTGCCGGCGCCGACTGGACTGCGCTTGGCAAGCACGTCGCTGCTGCTCGCGACCTCGGGCTGGAGAGCTCGCAAGACGTTGTGGCAGCCGCTGAGGGTTTGGAGCTGCGGAAGAAGATGCACAAGGTGGCCGGCTCGCTGCGGAGCGCGATGGAGGCAAAGAGCGCTCCGGCGCTCCGTGGGGCGCTGGCACAGGGCGACGCGCTGGGCATGGCCTCCTCGCTCTGGTCGTCGTGGATCGGGCTGATGGAGGACGCCGGTGACGCGCTGGCGCAGCACGAGTTTATCGTAGAGACGGTGAACGCAGCGCTCTCACCCTACGGCGACCGGCGACTCGGCCCGCTGCGAGCGGCGCTCGAGGCTGCGGCCTCGTACGGATTCGTGGCGGCAGAAGACCTCGAGCTTGTCGACAAGGGCCAGTTTGTGTTGCAGACTCGCGAGGCCATTGCCGACCAGGACTTTGAGGAGTTGGCAGACATCGTAGGCGACGCCAAGCGGGCAGGCATCAAGCACCACGAGCTCGATGCGGCGGCGCGCGGACTCTCGCTCCGCCGGCTCATGTCTGTTGTGGCCGACTATCTCACCGAGTCGATGGCCGACCGCTATCTGCGCGGGATGGAAGAGTCGCTGGCCAAAGCGCTCGAGCTCGACATGGAGGACTCGCTCTGGTCGTCGTGGCACGATCTCATTCCCGAGGCAGCTGCGCTTGTGGCGCGGCACCGAGAGGTTACCTCGGGCCTCCTCGCGCACCTGGGGCCGGGCACGCACGGCGACATCGAGGGCCTGCAGGGCGCGCTGCTCGACGCGCGTGAGTTTGGCTTTGCAATGGAGGGCGACCTCATGCTCATCGGCGAGGCCAAGTTTACGCTCCAAATCCGTGTCGGCCTCGCACACGCCGAGTTTGATGCAGTTACCAAGGCCGTGTCACGGGCGTACAAGTACGACCTCGTCTCACCGGAGATCGAAGCTGCGGCGGACATTGTGGATTTGCGGGCCGAGATGGCGCGGCTGGCTGGTAAGCTGGCCCGGGCTGTGAAGAAGCACGATGGTGTGGCGCTCGCCGCGCTGCTGGTCGACGCCGCGGCGCTCAACATGGGCGACTCGGTGTGGTCGTCGTGGCACGACGACGTGGCAGAAGCAACCAACGTACTCCGCAAGTACGAAGTCCTTGTCAAGCTCCTCAGGTCCGCACTCTACCCTGACCGCAGCGTGGACGCGAGCGCAGCGGCGGTGGCGGCCGACGATGCTGCTGACGACTCGGCGGCGGCACTCGAGGCGGCAACACTGGCGGCTGGAACGGAGCTTGCGCGGACGACGCAGGTGCACATCGCGGAGCTCGACTCTGCGCTTCGCAAGGCGAGCGCCTTTGGATTTGCGGCGGCGGCCGATGCGGCGCTGGTTGAGGCGGCGCAGCTGGTGCTGACCAAGCGCAAGGCACTGGCGCGCGGAAAGTTTGCCAAGATCGCCAAGGTTGTCGCTGTCGCCCGCGAGCTCGGGTTTGAGGTCGGCGCGGCACCTGGCTCGGGCCGTGAGATGCACCCCGAGCTTGTCTCTGCGCGCGAGATGCTCAAGCTGCGGAAGAAGATGAAGACGGTGGCGGTATTCCTGAGCGACGCGCTCGCCGCGCGAGACATGGCGGCCGTCGATGAGGGTCTGGAGGTTGCGCGGCGGCTTGGACTTGACTCGTCGCCGTGGTCGTCGTGGGGCGGCGCCGTGGCAGACGCTGTAGCTTTCCGGGCCAAGTACGAGGCGGTGCGAAACGAGCTGATGGAGGCGATGAAGGTGGCACCTACGATCGCGTCTGGGGTTGGCCCGTCTGCGGAGCTCTATGCCGCGCTGGACATGTACGAGGCGCTCGAGCTCCGTGACGAGGGTGACCTTGTGCTCGAAGAGCGGGCGTCTGCGCTACTGGCGATGCGGCTGGCGGTAGAGGCTCGCGACTTTGACGCCATCGAGCCGTTCCTCGGCGAGGACTATGCCTACCTTGCGCTGCAGGAGACGAGCGAGGGCGGAGCCATTGCGGCGGGGATGGAGCTTCGGCAGACGATGGCACCGGTGGCGGAGTCGCTGGAGGAAGCGATGCTCAACCGGTCGCTCTCAGGCCTGCGGGCCGGGCTGGATGCTGCGGCCAAGCTGGGCATGGGCGTCTCGATCTGGTCATCGTGGGGCGCGCTCCTCATCTCGGCAGGCAAGGTGCTCTCGCAGCACAAGTCGCTGCGGGCGCAGCTTATCAAGGCGATGGCGCCGGAGACGTCACCGGCTGGTTCCGAGCTGGATGCATTGGTGGAGACCGCGTCCTCGTTTGGTTTCACCGAGACGCGGGACACGCAGCTGGTGGTGCATGTGGGTATCCTGGCCGAGCTCCGGTCTGCGGTGAGCGCCGGAGCATGGTCGGATGTGGAGGCCATTCTGGGTGTGGCTGGCTCGCACGGGCTCGACACAGCCGAGACACAAGAAGCTGCAGCGGCGTTTGCCAAGTCGGAGCTTGCGCAGGGCCGGTCTGCGGCGCAATACGTGAGCGCGCTGCAGGGCGCCATGGTCGACGCGCTCAACGACTCTGAGCGGCCGCTGCGTTCGCTGCTGACCCGGATCCGGCTGTCGGGCGTGCGGTCGCCGGCGCTGACAACCGCGCTGGCGGCGGCGTCGGAACTGATGGCGCAACTGGAGACGGTCCGGGCGCTTCTCACCCGCGGGCTTAAGCGTATCGACGCACAGGCGCTTAAGGATGGCGTCGAGCTGGCGGCGGCGATCGGGTACGCGTCAGCCGACGTGGCGTCGGCACAGGTCCTGCTTCACGAGCTTGCACAGCTAGCGGCGATGCCGCAGCGTGCTTCAGGCGTGATGGAAGACGACGAGACGGCCGAAGCGGTAGTCTCGGGCTTGACCGACGAAGCAGCAGCGATTGGCGACCGAGACGACGGTGGCGTGCCGGCCGCGACTCTGGGCAGCAGCGGCAGCAAGAAGAAGTCGCGGCGGCGGTCCAAGAAAAAGGTGCTCAAGGTCGACGAGGACGGCGTCCCCCTCCCTCCCGACTGGCGGATGGTGTTCGACGACGTGACCGGCAACAACTACTTTGTGCACACCGTGACGCGCGAGACGACGTGGGAGCGCCCGCAGGATGCGCAGCCGCGCAAGGCTGGTGGCGTGACCGAGAGCGAAGCGCCGGCCACCGGAGGCAAGGTCACCGACGGCGAAGACGACGGTGATGCTGGCGGCGGTGACGGCGGAAGCGAGTCCGAGAACGGCGCCGATGCCGACTCGGCCAAGGGTGGCGCCGAGCACCGTGAGTCGGGCAAGCAGAACGGCGTGACTGCCGACGAGTCACAGACCGGACGCAACAAGTGGGCGAGCAAGTGGGGAGCTGGCAAGTAAAGCAGTAAACAGGCAAGCGATGGCGTGGCAGAGTCTGGTGTGATGATGTGTTTGCTGAGCTTGGCGACGGCTACTCGACGTCGTCCTCGTCGTCGTTGTTGTCGAGCATGGAGACGGCTTCGGCGTCAAGCTCGCTGTCGTCGTCGGGGGCGAGGGCGGGATCGGTGGCGGCAGCTGCGGTGGACTCGGACTCGGGGTCGGCGGCGGTGGTGGGATCGGCCTCGGGCTCAGCCTCGAGGCCGAGCGGCTGGATGTTGCGGAGGATGTCGTCGTCGTCGTCGTCGGAGGCGTCGTCGCCGACAACATAGGTGGTCTCCGGGCCGGCGGTGGCAAGGTCGTGATCGAGCTCGGTGAGGGCACCCGAGGCCGAGGGCGCGCCCGGCAGCGGGTCGTCCTTGACGATTTCGGGAAGGAGAACGTCGATGAGCTTGAACATGGCCTGCGAGGCGTCCTCGTCCTCCTCGTCGACATGGGCGTTGCGGACAACGACATAGACCTTGGAGTCGAGGAGGATCTGGCGCGAGTCAGCCTCGAGCGAGAGGTAAAACAGGGTGTCAACGATCATGCGACGGAGCTCGGGATCGGACTCGCGCTGGTGTGTGTAGGGCAGCTGGCGGATTTCGAGCGGCATGCCGACGACGTCGTCCTCCTCGAGCACGCGGTTGTCCATCAGCGGCTTGAGGAGCTTGGGCAGGAGATTGATGGGCCCAGTAGGGTCGAGCAGCAGGGGATGCTTGTCAGTCTCGTACACAAGGTTGCGGACGGTGCCGAGGATGCCGCCGCGGCGGATGACTGACTCATCGTCGAGGAAGGGCAGGAGCTGGGCAAGGAGAAGGCCGTCCTTCTTGAGGAAGAGCCTGCGGCCATCGACGGTCTGGGTGATGTTGGAGAAGACCGAGGCGAGAAAGTTGAGCGGAGCGTTGGGTTGTGGAAGTGCTTGAGGCGGAAGGCGCGGACGAGCTTGACGATGGCGATCTCCAGGGCCGAGTCGGTGTTCCACACGTCGAACAGATCGTGAACAGCAGCCTCTGTCCGGGTGCAGTTGGCGAGGAGCATGGCGGCGAGCTCAGAGATAACAGCATCGGGATCAAGCAGAACCTCGAGGAGGCGCGGGACGAGGCCGACCTGGACCATGGCCCGGGACCACGACTCGCCGACGCGTCCGGACGGCTTGTCGCTGTCTTCGGTTCCGGTCTCTGCAGAGAGATTGATGAGCGCCCGCATGGCGTTGTGGGCAATGGGCGTCAGATCGCCCATCATGGCACCCAGTCGCTCGAGCAGGACCTTGCGCTTGGCCAGGAGCACCGTCCTCGCCTCGGGCACGTCGCAGTACGGCGCCAGGTGGTCCGCCGCAATGGCTCGGACCTCGGCCTTGGGGTCATTGAGAAAGTCCACAAGCTCTAGCAGGGCATTCGAGTCCATGGTTGGATGTGGTGTGGTGTGGTGTGGTGTGGTGTGGTGTGGTGTGGTGTGCTGTGGTGGGGTGTGGTCGGGTGTGGTGCGGTCGGGTGGATGGATGGTGATGGGGAAGGAATGGGGCATTCGGTTCGGTTGTTGGGCGGTAGCGGGGCGATGGGACGATCATCGCGTCAAGACTTGCGGAGAGCGTCGATCATGGCTGAGAGAACAGAGGGAAAGATGCCGGCAAAGATGTCGACGTTGACAGCGTCGCTGGCGTTAAAGCCTGAGATGGCGAGGCGGAGGCCGTCGGCGCACTGGTTGTAGCCGAGGCCGAGGCCGTCGGGATCGACGGCGCCAAAGCCGATGAAGCCGAGATGAGGCGAGGAGATGTTCGAGGTCGACACTCGCCAGCGCGAGGCGTTGGTCAGCAGCGGGTGGGAAAAGAGCTCGTTGCCGTTGTCACCGGCCACAGACTGGAGCATGTACAGGTGGCGGTCGATGCCATCGCCTTCCATGGCCGCCTTGATCGTTGCAGTGTGGGCTTGGCCGGCAGCACGTAGGGCATCGCCCGAGTACGCCAGCGGCTCGCCCCAAACTGCTGCAACCGAAGCCTCGGTCAGTGAGCGGATGGTCTCGGTCCGTCCGCGCCAGAAGCCCTGCATCGTGGCGGCCTCGTATACGCCAGGGCGGAGACTGCCGGCTCGGCCCATGCCCTGCTCCATGGCCGCAAAAGTAGCCTGGAGCGCAAGCTGCACAAATGCATCCGGCGAGAGACCGAGTGACTTGGCAAGGCTCGCTGCGCCGCGTTCGTCCTCGATCTCTACCAACTGCACGCTATCAGCACTTGCAGCCGCGGCCTCTTGCGCCCTGCGCATGTCAGCAGCGAGCTCGGGGGGAAGAGTAAACTCGTGGCGTTGCCACGGGAGACCGGCGCCAGGTTTGCGCGAGGCGCGCGCACGTGCGCCCAGCTCGGGCGCCGCAGCGTCAATCATGTGCTTCCACACAATGCCGTCGAGAAACGAGTGCTCAAAGTTAAAGCCGACGCGCCCGCTCGGATCGGCAGCCACAAGCATCTTGTCGAACCAGCGGTTGAACGTGCCCGCAGCAGGCATGCCGTGCATCATCGACCGTCCACTGAGCGGTGCGCTGTCAAGGGCCACAACAAAGAGGCTCGAGTCCCACTCGGAAAGAAAGGCCGCCGCCGCGGGCGATGACGCCGCAAACCGCGCCCGCCACATGCCCCACTCCAGCCGCGGAAGGGCGGTGAAGACACCGACCTCAGTGCCAGACGCCCAGCCGGGTGCCCGGCTGTGGGCGTCGTCCTGGATGGCTTCCATCGTCCGTGCCAGTAGCTCGACAGGCATCGGACCACTAAAGTCGCTCGCCATGACCGGTTCGACCGTGTAGTAGTGTCCGTTGCAAACAACACCGAGCTTGGCACCGTCAGTCGTCGGATCGTACACGTGCGCCGTGTCGGGTTGCGCCGCCTCGGTCCGCGGCAGCCGGGCGAAGCCCATAACCTTGGACCAGGCTGAGACCTCAATGGAGCCCATCAGCTCGGGCCGCCGCTCGAGCGGGATGTATGCCCCTGGGGCCTGCGGCTCAGCGAGCACGCCGGCCCACCAGTCGAGCATGCCGGTCGCCGTCGCCGCTGCCGACGCCGCCGCCACCGACGACGGCGCCGAGTCGAGGACAAAGTGCGGGTTGATGTTGATGGGCAGCGGGTTGCCATCACTAAGGTATGCCTCCAGCCAGAGCTTTTCAATCCACGAGCCCGGAAAGCCAGCACCGTTCCTAGCCGCCACCTCGCGCGCCAGATCGCGGATCTCGCCATGAGCCGCTGCTGCAGCACCGCTGGCCACAAACCGATCCACCGCCGCGTAAAAGCTGTTGAGCTCGCCCTCGCCCTCAGTGCCCTCAGCAGAGACTCTCACTGACTCCTTCAGCTTGGCCAGCGTCACATCTACCTCTGGCAGTGGCAGCATCGGCACATCGGTCACGTTATGCTGACGGAGGGCAGTCAGCCGAGCAGCCGCCCGTTCCGCCCCGGACCCACCACGAGCAGCCAGCGCTGTCTGCCACCGACGAGAGGACGCAGCAGAGGTAGGGCGGGCGGCGGAACAAACAAATGCCCGCAGCATGACCAAGAGGAGGGGGTTGGGCTGGGGTGCAGGGTGAGGTGACTGGTCGTCAGGTGGCAGGCAGCAGTGTTACAACTGGTCGTTGGCGCCCTGGCGGGCATCCAAGACTGCGGCTGGCCCGCGGAGCGCATCGTAAATGGAGAGGACGGCAGTGTACGCGGTTGCGCGATCAGAGGCGGGATCGGGTGCCGGCACGGATGATGTCTCTGTCTGAGGGGTGCATGCGGGAGGTATGAGGTCGGCGATGGGGCGAGTGCCGGTAACGGCAAGGTGAAGGATGTGGTGCGGGGCCGGGCGCCGGGCGGTAGCGTCGAACCAAGTCTCATCAAGGCGGACTGGGAGCGCAATCATGCCATCAAAGGCATCTCCGGACTGCCAGCAGTGAGGCAAGGCCGGCAGGCTCTCTGCGCAAGTTGATCCGAGGGTGGCATGGATTACCAGCGAGGCAGTGGCTCTTCCGGGCACTTGCTCCAGCGCAGGAATACGGATGTGGAGAGTAGCATGGGCGCCCGGCTCAAGGTCGGCGGTGCCCTCAGCGCGAAGTGCGTCGGCGAGTGGCTCGTGGCAGACGCCGAGGGGAGAGATACTGGCGAGTTCAGCGTCGGTGATACGTGCGTGCGCAAGGGCCGGGGGCTCTGGCTTGGTCGAGGCCGCGGCGGCGTGGCCGGATCGGACTGACGTCGGGTCGATGTGGACCAGGGCGGCGATGGCGAGGCCGGCCCGCGCAAAGGTGCCCGAGACAAGTTTGGAGGTGCGCGAGCTCGAGGCGACGACGTGCGAGACATCGATGGCAAGGCGCCCGATCTCGGTTCGTTCCGGTGCAAGATAGAACGGGAACGCCGGATGGAAGATGCGCGAGCCACGGGCGCCAAAGGCGTCGAGCGTGGGCGCGGCGCCGTCGTGAAGCAGATGCAGGGTCTGAAGCGCAGTCTCAAAAGAGTCAGGGTCGTAGTGGGCATGAAGCAGGGCGCGTGTGCAGCTCGCTCGGACAGCGTATGGATACCGCAGTGAGACCTCGTCGTGCGGCTCGAGCGAAAAGGTGAGCGGCTCGCCGATGGCTTCCAGCAAACGGTTGGCGTCGGCGATGAGAGACCACGCAGCAGCCATGGAGAGCGGCGGGAGTGCAGCCGGGATGTGAACGCGGGCGGTGAGAAAGGCGCCGCCACCGGCGGCCATGACGCCACGCACCGCGTTGTTGCGGATGCGCATGACAAATTCGGCATCCTTGAGCGTCCGGAGTGAGAGCTTAAGATTGGTGGGCAGGACGGTGGCGAGAAAGAAGGTCTTCGAGTTGCCGCCGAGCGACTGCGAGAGGAGCATAGAGAGGACCGACTGGCGGTACGGCGGCTCGCGGCCTGTGGCGAGCGAGTGAATAACGAGGCCGAGGGTCTGGAGCGCGAGATTGATCTTGCGGCGCTCGCGCTCCTGAGCAGCAGACGTGCCGTCGTTCTCATGGCGGACGGCATCGAGACCCTTGCGCTTGGCGTACTCGCGCTGGGTGCCGGCAAGATCGGTAAAGGTGAGCTTGGTCATGAGACTCAGCACCTCGCCGTCAGGCAGCTCCTGGCGGCGGGTGACGTAGAGTGTAAAGATGGTATGGGCCGGAGACGAAGCCTCGTTCGCCTTGGTGGCGGTCACCGTCCTCGCCTCCATGCCGGCCTTGAAGAAGAAGGCCAGCTCGTCGAGCGACTTGACTCGCTTGCGACTGAGGTTTTCAACGCGGACATTGGTCTTGGCGTCGCCGCGAAGCTTGAGCTCCGGCGGCGCTTGCGTCGACCGAAACAGCAGATCGCGGAGCTGCTCGCAATAGACTTCGAGAGCCGAGAGCTCAACGCTAAAGTGGATGTCAGGGTGGGCAGCGTCCTCGGCTGCGAGAGCTGCAAAGAGGCGGCCGGCGACAAGCGGGACAAACTCGCGCATGGTGTAAGTCTTGCCAGTCCCGGTCTGGCCGTACGCCACCACGCAGGTGTGGAAGCCATCGAGCACGGCGTTGACCACGTGGCATCCCAGCGTGCGATCGAGGCGTTGGGTCGAATCCGTTGTATCAAACACGTGGTCAAAATCAAATGCCTTGGCCTTAACCTTGGCCTCGTGGCTCGACCACGCCTGCGAGGTGATCTTGATCCGCGAGCCGGAGGCCTTGGTCACGAGCGGGCTATCCGAGTCGGCGGTGGCGCGGACGCGCGACGGCGGCGCGAGCCGGACCGCCACCAGAACGTGCGGGTCATAGCCGACGCACGCCTGGGCAAGCTTGTGCATCCAGCCTTCGCTCAGCGGAGCAGCCGGTGAGGATCGGCCCGAAGCGGCGGCAGCAGCGGCGGCGGCCACGTTTGCGGTAAAGGCATCGCGGGCGTGGGAAAGTCAACCAGCACCCGGTCCAGCGCCTCACGCCGCAGGATCATTACCCGGGCCTCAGATCGTGCCTCGACATCGGCCATCCGCACCGTGCCTGGCGCGTACAACCCGATCTCGCCAAAGTGGGCTCCCTCGTGGAGCGGAATGGCACGTGGAGGTGAAGCTGATGACGACGACGATGGCGATGGCGATGAAGGCTGGACGACGACCTCGACAACCCCACCAGTGACGACATACATCTCGCTCCCATTGCTCCCACGGGCAACCACCAGCTCCCCCATTGAATAGTGACGGATCTCCATGGCGTGCTTGAGAGCCTTGATGAGCTTGACGCTGGCGCCTGACGAGCTGGACCCAGCATGGCCAGCCGAGGAGGCAGCAGAGGCAGACGAGGCAGCAGGACCACCAGGGGCAGCAGGCGTTGTCGCACCTCCACCACTTCGTCGCATGGTGGAGGAGTGCGGAGGAGTGGTATGTGCGTATGTGTGTGTGTGTGTGTGTGTGTTGTGTGTGTGTGTGTGTGTGGCTGGGACAGGTCGGCAGGAGCTTTGCTGCTCGTGGCCGTGGCGAACAATGGGCGATGGCGATGGCGATGGCGATGGCGATGGCGATGGCGATGGTGATAATGTGATGCATGGTAGTCTTGGATAGAGTGAGGATTGATGTGCGAGTGGCGCAGGGCGATGGTGACTGCGGCGATTGCGGCGATGGTGATGGCTATTTAGTCGGTGCACGAGGCGATGGGTTTGGGGAAGCCCTCGGGCATTTAAGATAGGCAACGATGTGGGGAAGACTGCTACTGAGACTTCTTGGACTTCTTGCCCTTCTTCTTGGCCGGGAGGCCGGCAGCCTCCTCGTACTGCTGCTTGAGGGAGTCAAACATGCCCGGGGGAGTGGGGAAGGGACGCGGGAGCGACTCGCCGAGGAGATACGCCTTGACTAGCGGGGCCTTGTATGTGCGCATGGGAGCCATGAACAGCTGGATGAAGAGCGGGACGGTGGTGCCCCAGTAGTAGTGGATGCCCGTGATCATGGCCGCCGGCATGGCCACGCTCTGGAAGAACTTGCCCCACTCGCGCTGGTCGTACTCGCGCTCGGTCATGATCTCCGGCTCATTGTCCTCGGCCAGCTTCGCCTCCATCCCGGTCTTCTCCACCTTGATGTTCTTTCCGTCCGCCCGCTTGTTCACCAGAGTCTTGATGTAGAGCGCGACGGCGAAGAGCACAAGCTGGACGCCACCAAAGGCGAGCCGGAGCCACAGCAGCCGGTCACCCTCCTCAAAGTCGATGCCACGGGCCACATACAGCACAGGCACAATAGCCAGCATAGAGTAGTCCATCTTGCTCCGCTCTTAAGCTTTTGTGCTTCAGAGTCAGGTATCTTCTTCCCCCCTTCCCCTACCCCCTTGCCGCTGCTTCCACAAGTCTATCCTCCCCCCCTCCCCTCCCTCTCCCCTCTTCCCGCCTCGTCGGTGGTGGATGGGCGACCGACACTGGGTCACCTCACCGCTCCCCCACACACCCTAGGGTTACAACTCACACCCGATCACAAGCTTAGATAGCGTATATACTTATTGACCTCCCAACAAATAGTCATCACATATAAATAGCGATGTGCTTACCGTTGTTCAAGGCCTTTGGTCGTCACGATGGCCAACCCTAGTGCGTTTGGGGGGGGGGGAGGGGGGCACTGGTCAACGTTGGCCACCAGCAGTGCGACCAGCGGTGAGTCCTAACCTGACGTGAGTTTGGCGGCAGAGGCGATTGGGAGGAGGTAGAGGCCGAGTGAAGGGGAGGGAGAGGCAGACTCAACGCACCGATAACCAGTATGCTGCAGCGGGTATCTCGAGGGGTGGACTACGGGCTGGGCACGGCATTTGTGGCGCTGCCGTGCATGGTCTTTGCGGCGGCGCTGCTGTACGTGGTGGTGTACTACAGCCACCCGATGGCGTCACTGGAGCGGCTGCCGGGCCTGGGCCTCGACTTTCGGGCATGGGATGCGGCTAGTCTGGCTGAGATGTACGAGCCCATTGCCTCGTCATCGCTGCGGGAGCTGGTGGGCCTGTACAACACCTGGCTCCCGGCCTACTACATCGCCCAAGCCCTGGCTCTCACCTCGATGGTCTCGATGGCCTGGTGGCCGCTCTACGGACACCCGACCCGCGGCCCGTCACCGTCGCTCCTCCTCACCAACCTCATTCCGCTCGCCATGCTTCTCGTCGACTTTCTGGTCGGACGTTCCGTCGTCGTCTTTATCTATGCCATGATCGATCATCGTACCGCCTCGGCACCCGGCGTTCCCTTTGATCCCACTGCAGACGGCAACCTCGCCCTGCTTGCTACCCTTGGCGGGCTGGGCTCGCTCCTCAAGACGGGTCTCCTCATCCTCTCGGTCATCTCGGCCGGCTGGGGCCTTGGCGCAGAGTTCATTATCGAGCTCAAGCGGACGTACAAGGAGGAGTTCTCGGGCAAGTCCTTCTCGCGCCGCCGCAACAAGTCCTCTATCAACATGCGCCGCGTCTCTTCCAAGCAGAAGCGTCGCTGATCGTGATACGATTAAATCCATCGATGGCTGCCTCCGCCGCCCACCCCTCCGCCGCCCACCCTCCGCCATACCATCCGCCGCCATACCATCCGCCGCCACACCACCCTCCGCCATACCATCCGCCGCCATACTATCCGCCGCCACACCATCCGCAGCGAGCTCATCCGGTCACATCGCGTGTGGCTGCCGAGCCATACCGTGGCTTCTCTGTCTGCCGTGATGATCCTGTCTGGCTCCGTTGCCTGCTGCCTCGATTGTCACGACTGCCCCTCCACCCCCTCCACCCACCTCACTCTGTATCTGACCATGGTGAAGACCTCCCGCGGCCCGCCCGTGCCCAGCACCCGCATGACATCCCGCAGACGTGCTACAAACGGTGCAGGCGTGCACAAGGCCAAGACCAAGACTCCATCAGCTCGCTCGGGACGGAAGGTAGCATCTGGTTCAATGAGGGCAGAGCCTTTGGCAGCGACAGCGGGAGCAGGCTCGACTGGTTCTCGCACGGCATCAAAGAACAGTCCGGCGATGGGCGGCTTTCAGGACGAGTGGATCGAGCCAGGCGTGGCGGTCGATGCCCGGAAGGTCAAAATGATGCGCCTGGCGTTGGGCGGTCCGGCGGAGGGATGGAACCCGCGGCCGGATGTTACTCCCTTCCGCTCAAAGGTTCTTGCGCTCTGCGCTCAGGTGCCGCCGGGCCAGGTGACGACGTACAAGGCCATTGCGACAGCACTGGGTTCGGCTCCGCGGGCGGTAGGCGGCGCGCTTAAGCGCAACCCGTATGCCCCGCTGCCAGTCCCGTGCCATCGCGTTGTTGCCGCCTCGCTTGGCATCGGTGGCTTTGCCGGCTCCGACTCGGCCTCGGATGTCCGGATCCTACTCAAGCGTGCTATTCTGCGGGCTGAGGGGGTGGTTTTTGACGAGGCCACCGGAAAGGTCAAGCCAACCAACGCGGTCGGCTCTGCTACTGTCTTTACTGACTTTGACACCTCGGATGAGACCGCTCTGCTGCGGTTCGCCGCCTCGTCTCTAGCTCCATAAGCTGCTAATTCTTGAGCGGCTCATAGTCATCGTAGAAGCCACCACCACCACCACCACCGCTGCTACTGCGGCGCTCGTGTGGTGTGGCGTTGTGCGCCACTGACGATGACGGGGGAAGCGGAAACGCGCGCGCAATGCCCCAGTGCAGAGGCTCCGGCGATGGCAGCGAGGCCGGCTCGCTCGCGGCGCGACGGGCCGAGCTCACCACCGACGTCCGCCGCGACGAGCCGACCATCAATGTTTGGCGCGGGGTGTGCGCACCGGAGCCTAATCGCGGATCACCGTCGACCCGGGCCTGGGTCGGTCGCGTCGAGCGCGTTACCATGGCCAGCGCAGCATGACGCAGTGCCCAGCTCCGCTGCGGCTTGGTGCTCCGCGACTTGCCACCTCCGCTGCTGCCCATCCCGCGCTCTGCTCTCTGGGTCAGCCGCCGTGGCTCACTTGCTGCCACAGCTTGCATGTGCTTGTGCTGGGCGGCGAGCCGCCGGCGTCTGCGCCGTTCTCGAAGCTCGGCACGGACCTGCCGCTGTTCCGGCGAGGGGCTTGGTGAGGGACTTGGCGCACCAAGCGGCCGCAGCCGCGTCGCCCGCTTTGGCCGCCGCAGCTTCAGCAGCTGCTGTTGCGACTCGCGGACCAGGCGCTGATCCTCCGGCTCGCGTTCGGCCCATTTTCGAGTGAGAAGAAACCGTGCCCGCGACGTCCGCGTCCTGCCTCGGGCCCTACTTCGCCGGCCCGCATTCTGCCCCCACCCGGCGCGACCTCCTCGACAATGTCCGTCAGCGATGTGTCGGGCCGGCCGGTCTTGACCAGAATCTTGGGAAACTTGCGCCGCTCACCCTTGCCTTTTTTGCTTCGGCGACGCGAGCTCTTGCGCTGCAGCCGAGGCTGCGGCGGCAGCACAGGCTGCGACACCGCTGCCGCCTGCTTCGCCTCGCCCGAGCTCGATGATGACTCGCTCCCACCTCCGCTGCCAGCGCCAGTGTCGACGTTGGCGAGTGGGACTTGCAGCGCCGACGCCGGCAAGACGCCATGGGTAAGCGAGCGCCCCGCAGGCGAGACTACGTCAACCGCACGCCTCGCACCACCGTTGCCAGCAACTCTGGTAAAAACCCGCAGACAGACGATGGAGGCAAACGCCGAGCCGAGGGTTACAAGTGCCAGGTCGTGCGGTGACGATCGAGGCTCGAGCTTGCCGTGCCACACGCAACTAGACAAGCCGTGGCTGGGCCGGCCATCGAGAACGCTGCTGGGCGTTGCGTCGATCTCGACAGCACATGTGCCACTCGGACACGATGTCGTGACCACAACCTCGGACGCCTCGCCAACCGAGAGTCCGAGATCAATCACGTTGCGCGTGTTGGGAAACTGGAGCATGACGTCGCCAGAGCAGAGCCATTCGCTTGCTGGGAGACGGAGGCAGACGGTGGCGGCCGCAAACGACTGGCAGACTTCAGCCGGCGTCAGCTCGACTACTCCCAGCTCACGGACCTCGCGCTCACTCTCATCGAGCGGAAGTGGAACAAGACGCACGGTCTCGATGTCGCTGGCTCCACTCTCGTGGACACTGCGCTGCAGCCACGAGCGGTCGTGCCCGGCGCCCACAATGGCAAACGGCACCAGGTCATGCTCTGCGCCACAGCCGGGCGCGAGAGAGTAGCCAAACTCAGCGTCGACGTAGGGATGCAAGATAACAAGCGACGGGGTGCTGGCCGCCAGCGAGACGAGTGAGTCGACTACATGCTGCGAGTCGGCGAGCTCTACGCCGGCCACCGGCGCGCCGGTTAGCGCTTCGAGCACAAAAGCGAGGGGGCATGCAGCAACCGCCGAGAACGTACCCAGCCGGCGGGCCAGTGCCATGTGCAGAACCGCCGGCCAGAGCTCTGGCAGAGCTGCCGGCGAGCCGGCCGCAGTTGCCAGCACGCCCAAACTTCCATCCTTGTCCATCGGGAACTTGTCGTCGACTGCATAGACATCCCATCCCGAGTCTGGTGCCCAGATCCAGACGCCAAGCGCAACTCCGTGCATCAGCAGTGACGAGGTCAGCAGTGGATCAAGGGTGCCAGGGAGCGAGGCGAGGCCCGCAACCGCGGATGCCAGACTAAACGCTGCCTGGGGCACGCCGGCGAGCGTTAGGAGCGCATCTGGACCAAACGACGGGACTAGCGCACCCTCACATGCAGCAAGCCCCATCGCGCGTGGTTCATCCAGCTCGGCCGGGAGCGGAAGGACCACAAAGTCGGACGGCAAGACTGGCTCGTGCGGTGGTGCGTGGCAGGTTGATGAACGGCCGCCGTCATCGCACGGCGCGCCATCTTCCGCACTCGCTGCAGGCTCGAGTGCAAACGGGGCCGAAGCCGCAACAGCTAGCGTGAAGCTAGCCCGTGTGCCAGGGTAGTAGGTGCATGGTACAATGGTGAGCTCGATGGCCTCGGTTGAGCCAGGAAACGGCAGCTCGAACGGAGCATCGGTCTCGACACGCGAGACGAGCTCAAACTGGAGCGCCGAGCCGTTTGGCACCAGCTCTGCGACCGACACGTTCGGCGCGAGCTTAGTCGGGCTCCCAAAGAGCGTGACAAAGCCGATTGGCGCCACCCTGGCACTCTCGAGCGAGCCGGTACCCTCCCGACCGGCGTCAGCCTGGCTCTCGATATCGAGCGCAATCCAGACTCGCGCCGAGGGAGGATCAGGCAATGGCTCGTCGATACGGTCAAGCAACGAGCTGCCCAGTTCGGGCGCGTGGTCCAGAGTGTTCGGAGAAGGCGGACCAGGACTGTAGTCAGAGCTGTGACTGGATGCGGTGCATGTTGTCATCGTCGAGCGGGAGTCGTTTGCAGAGGAAAAGGCCACCGAGGCCGATGCCGAGCCCGCGTCCGATGCCGAGTTTGCGTCGGATGCCGAGTTCGCGTCGGATGCCGAGTTCGCGTCGGATGCCGAGCTCGTGTCGGATGCCAAGTCCGAGCTGACTGCACATGTTGACCCAGTGCCATCCTCGATCTCATCCGACAGCGGCTTTGGGGGATACAGAACCAAGGTGTAGTGCGGGTTGGCAGCACACGAGTCAAAGGCCGGACAGCCACCGGCCAACGCCGCCGACCACTCGCCAGTCACCAGCTGGATGTGAGCAAGAGAAGACGGCGCGGCGTGGACCAAGGCGCCGCGGCCCATCTCGACCGGGCCGAGCTCGATCCACTCGAGAACGGCTGTCGCGCCCGAGCTGAGCTCAGCGCTCAGCTCAAAGCCACCGACGACGCCTGGCACGTAAAACGAGGGCACAATAGTAACGATTCCGCTAGCGACATCCATATCTGCTGCGGTGAGCTCGATAGAGACCGCTGCGGCAGCGCGGACAAAGCGAGCGGTTGCGTTGGGAAGGGCGTGTCGAGCAAGGACAGGTCCCGCCAGTGGCTTGCCTGCGGTGGCCAAGACGGTGAGACCAAGCGCATGTTCTGGATCCTTGATCTCCTCCTCCTCCTCCTCCTTCTCTTCTTCTTTGCCAATGAGCGTAACCGTGACAACAACGACAGTATCGCCCGAGTCGGCCTCAGTGGCCAGCCTCGGGCGCGAGGAATCCCCTTGCCCACCGCTCCCCGACCACGAGCATGACTTGGCGCGCAAGACATACTGCGGGTTTGAGTGGAAGGAAGGATAGTTGGCACACCCCCGCACGTGCTAGCCTCCCACCGCCCACGGATGGTTACCGCTGGCTCGGACACAGCCGAGCCTCCGTTACTCATACCGCGAGAGGTAGTGACGACAACCGTCGCCGTCGTCGACGTCGCTGTCGCCCCGCCGCCACCCTGTTGCTCTGCCGTCGCTCGCCTGCGGTGACAGGCATGGGCATGGGTAACCAACCATGAGATTGGCAGGTATTGAGATCCATGATCTGGACGCTGTAAGCCGCGACGTGGAGGTGGCGGGATCATTGGATCAGCCCGAGTCGACAAAGGCCCGTGCGAGCCAAGAACCCCCCGCGCTCTGGATGTCGATTCCCTGGGTCGACCTGCTTGCGGTGTGCCGGCGGCGACTGCTTTCGTTGACATATTGGCAATCCATGTCACACGTTTGCCAGCCTGTGACAGGCAGTAGTGCCCTTTCCATTGATGGTAAGCTGATAATTAGAATGAGGGATCGAGAGCAAGAGCAAGAGAGAGACGGAGAGATAGAGAAAGAGAGAGAGAGAGAGAGAGTGTGTGTGCTCGTTGGCTGCACTCTGCTGGTGTTGTACGCTCCATTGATTTGCAGGCCATACCAAACACGTTTGCCAGGTCGCCGTTTCAGGTTCAACAACGAAGGAGTGACCAATGTCGTGGTAAGCTGATAATTAGAATGAGGGATCGAGAGCAAGAGCAAGAGAGAGACGGAGAGATAGAGAAAGAGAGAGAGAGAGAGAGAGTGTGTGTGTGAAAGAGCTAGCGGATGTGCATGTGCGTGCGCGTGCATGTGTTTGAAGTGCGACTCATGGAGGTGGTGCGGGACATCTTCTCGGGGAAACCCTGCGCCAAACAGGTCACAAGGCGAGCAGATGTGTGCGGCAATCGTATTGTTCGGCACAGTACATACCCGCTCGAGAGTGGTGGCAAGATTAAGCACTTGACGTTCCCCACCTTGTCCTGCCCAAGCATACAGCAGCCTGGCGTTGACTTGGCCACATCTATCTGTGTGGTTACGCGTAGAGCCTGTATGATGAGGATGGGAAGTGGGTGGGCCGGGCTTGTAGCGGTTGTGGCGCTGGCTTGGGTGGTGGTGGCGGTGACGGGATCGTCAAGCGGAAGACGGCGGGTGAGCTCGAGAACGTTTGTGAAGCCGCCACAGCCTCCAAGCCAGCTGCGATATCTAAGCATCTTCGACAAGTCGACATCGCTGGAGCACGTAGACAAGTACATTGTGAGCGTGTACAACAATCGACCAAATGCCACAACCGAGGTCTATCGCTTCGGCATGCCGATTCGCGACGCGTCCAAGCCCGATGTGTTTGGCTCCTTGGTCACGGCTCCCCTGGCGGGTGCTGACCTGATGTATGGTTACACAGGGCCAGAGTTCCTCGACTTTGTAGACGAAGGTCATCTGACAGACTTGACCTCGCTGTGGAGCAAGTACGGGTGGGCGCAGCGCATGCCACAGTCGCTGATGGACCGATCGCGCGGCCGCGACGGCAACTTCTACTTTGTACCGTTCAACATGGACGGTTTTGGTCTGTACTATCTCCAGCCGGCGCTTGCATCCACCGGGCTCTCTCATCCACCCGAGACCTGGCAGCAACTGGAAGCTTTCTGTGCGGCGTGGAAGATGGCGACGTCGAACCCGTGCCTCACTCTTGCCAACATCATTACTATCGAGCCGTTCATCTGGTTTGACTACATCAACTGGCGGATGCACGGACACGAGTTCCACCGGGCGTGGCTCAACGGCGACGTGGCATTTACCGACCCTCGCATCAACGCCACAACCGCCTCGCTCTACCACTTTCTCTCGTCGGGCTACATCAAAGTCGACGGCTCGTTGGCTGACTTTTACACGGGCACGTCACCGCTGTCTGTTTTCACCGAGGCCGTGCACAAGTTCTCACCCGTTCTCACCAACAGCACTGCCTTCCTCTCGCTCATCAAGCATACCACTTTCCCCTCGATGAATGCAGCAGTCCCCCGGACTGAAACCGAGGGCATAATCTCGCTCCGGTACTGCATCCCGACCAATGCTGGCAACGCTGCTGGCGCGCGCGACTTTCTCGAGTGGCTCATGCTGCCGTCGACACAGAGCGTTTACTTTGCGCTTGCGCCGATCACAACACCTGTGCTCAACACTACAACGCCAGGGGATCCGATTCTCAAAGCGGTTGCGGACACTATGTTCTCAGCAGCGAACCTGCTGCATCTTTCATGGGAAGGCCTCGACTCGGCGATTGTGCGCACCGAGTGGTCAGAGGATTTTGACGCTTGGTTCCGCAACTCGTCACGGCCATCACCCGAGTCCATGCTCGCCAAGATGGAGGCGAAGCGGATCGAGGCCTACTTTTCGGTTGCTGTCACCCCGACCGCCTCGCCGGAGCCTGGTACCTTCACCTCTGCCCTTGAGATCACATTGGGCACACTTACCGACGGCGCAGATGTGTACTACACGCTTGATGGCTCGATCCCATTCGACGGTTCGCTCAAGTACTCTGAGCCGATTCGCATCGACACCTCGACGTTTGTCATTATTCGGGCAGTGGCCATTCGGCCTGGCCTTTCCAAGTCGCCTTTTTTTGAGGGGACGTACAGGGTTGTTTTGCCGTCGCCATTGCCGGCAGCATCGTCGCCCACGACCCTCATCTTGCTCGCCACGCTAGGTGCCGCCATTGTGGTCGGCTGCATTGGCATCGGCGGCTTTGTCTACTATCGATCGCGGACCAAGTCCGTGACGTTTATGCTCAAGGGCGACGACCAGCTCCTGGTGGCATACGAGGATCTGGACGGACTCAAGCCCATCGGCATGGGCTCGTTTGGCACCGTGTACAAGGCCAGCTACCGCGGCACGACCGTGGCCATCAAGGAAATGCACACCCGCAAGCTCAACGAGGAGCTCATCGAGACGTTCCTCGCCGAGGCCCGGGTCATGCTCAACCTTCGCCACACCAACATTGTGCTCTTTATGGGCGCGTGCCTCCATCCGCTCGTCCTCGTCACCGAGTACATGTCGCGTGGCTCTCTCTACGATGTCATCCACAACGAAAACTGCGAGATCGGACTCGGGCTCAAGGTCAAGCTCGCGCTTGACATGGCGCGCGGCCTGGCTTTCCTCCACTCGCACTCGTTCCTCCACCGCGACCTCAAGTCGCTCAACATTCTCGTCGATGAAAACTGGGTGGCAAAGGTCGCTGACTTTGGCATGACCTCGTTCAAGCTGCCGTCGGCGTCCGCTAAGACCAAGCCTTCCAGGTCAAAGGTCTGGACATCTACCATGGGCCACGGCGAGACAGCAATGGCTAGCTCAATCTCGGTCGGCCAACAATCTGTGGTGATGCAACCGCCGGCGCACATTTCGCGCTCAGATGGCGTCACCTCGTCCGACGACGATGATGCACGGATCGAGCTTCTCGGCTCGATGTACTGGACCGCGCCTGAGGTGCTCGAGAACGCCGAGTCCTACACGGAGGCCTCAGACATGTACTCGTTTGGCATCACACTGTGGGAACTCTTTGCACGGGCGGACCTCTTTGTCGGCCAGCACCCGTTTGCGGTGGCCATCGGCGTGCTCTCGGGCGATCTCCGCCCGGACGTCTACCAAGTCCCACTTGATTGTCAGGTTGTAGTCCCGCTAATGGAGCGGGCATGGGCCAAAGCGCCGTTGGCGCGCCCTGCGTTCTCTACCGTCATCGAGGAGCTGGACGCCATTCGCGACTCGGTTCCGGTAGTTCTGCCCAAGACCGATGTCGAGCCGGTCGGCACTGTTGTGTGTGCTACGGTCATGGTTGGCCATCTCGTCGAGGCAATGGAGGTCATCCCGCGCGAGTTCGGCTCGGTTCTCCTTGTCTTCCACAAGTATGTGGAAAAGGCGGCTGCCAAGTCGCTCGGCTATGTGTGGCGGCAGGAAGTCGACCGAGCATACCTCACGTTTTCCAAGCCGACCCACTTTGTGCGGTTCATCGACCGGCTCCTCCGGTCGATGGAGAGCCACAGGTGGCCACGGGCGTTGCTTCGCGAGTCATTTGGTGCACCAGTGACGTCGCCTGAAGGCGAAGTTGTGCTCCGTGGGCCGCGGGTGACAATCGCAGCTACCTATGGCTCCACCAACAGCGCCCGCGACCCGCGAACGTACCTGCTCCAGTACTCGGGCGCCCCGATCACCGAACTTTGCGAGCTCGAGTCGATGATCTTGCCGGGCCAGAATCTGGTCACCGAGCCGCTGCTGCGTGAAACGCAGACTGCGCTGCTCGAAGCCAACTTTCAGCTGTCGTCGTCGCCGATGTACATTGCGTCACACGGCCAGCTGTTTCAGATCGCCCGCAAGGGGCGTGCCCTTGACTTCAACTCGTTCTACGCGTCCAACCAGTGGTCGTCGGCGCGGCCTCGCCACTCGGCATTCGACCGCACATCGCTCAAGCACTCGATGACTCTGACGCTACCACAGGTTCTGAACCAGTCACACAGTGGGCCTCCTGAAATGGCGTCGTCGACTTGCCCGGCAGCGACGTCTGCAGACCCTGCGCCCGAGGTGCGCAAGCCCTCCCGCCGCGCCAACAAGGTTGCCCCGCAGCCGTCTTCCTCCTCGTCGTCTTCCTCGTTGCAGGTTGTCTCTGCAGCTGATGACGACCGGCCGCCGCTGCCATCGTCCGAATCGGAGAGCTCGTTCTCTGCTCGCCCCAAGCCAAAGTTGGGGCTGTCGACGTCGATTCGGCTCCACGCCTCGGCCTCGTTCCCGACGTCCAATTCGGCAGCAGTACTCGAGGCCGGATCGCCATGGATCATCGCGCTTGACACCATGAACGCGGCTTTGACCAAGGCGACCCGAGTCGGTGTCGGCTCGTACACTGAGTCGTTTGTGAGCGAGTGGGCAAATGGAAGGATTGTGCTCATCAAGAAGTTGTTGCAGCAGCATGCATCGATCGAGTACCGCATCATGTTCCTTGTCGACATTTGCCTTCTCCGGCAACTGCGGCACCAAGCACTCCTTCCGGTCCTCGCCGCCTGCTTCTCACCCCCTGCCTTGCGGTCGTTGTCGAGCTTCAGGAGAACGGATCGGTTGCCGACACGCTCTTTTCCCACGGACCGCCGTCGATCTTTCCGCCGTCGACCATGTCGGCTATGTTTGCCGAGCGCAAGAGGAGAAAGCGCCGCGACCGGCAACCGGTCCTGTCCCTCGCGGACAAGCTCTGCATCATGCGGGCCATCCTCGATGGGCTTCACTACCTCCATCAGCGCGGACATTCGTTCTCGGGCCTCAAGCCCACCAACATCCTCCTCACCACGGTCGAGAACGCCAATGGCTCCATCGGCTTCTCGGCCGTCCTCTCTGACTACGGCCTCGTCGAGCTCAAGCAGTCGCTCGGCACCATGACCATGTCGCAGACAGCCATGTACGAGTCACCCGAGGTGCTCCGTGGCGAGGAGCGGACTCAGGCATCGGACGTCTTTTCGTTCGGCACCATCCTCTTTGAGCTCTTTACCGAAGAGACGGTCTTCCCTCGGACCATGAATGCCATGGAGGTGGCCTTTGCCATCGCTCGCGGCTTTGAGGTCGTCATCCCATCGTCGGTCCCGCTCGAGGTGGCCGACATCATCACCTCGTGCTGGGCCACCAATCCTACCCTTCGCCCCACCGTCGCCTCGCTCAAGGCCTCCATCGAGACCTTTGAGATCATGGAGCACTCATCTGGATAAAGTCAATCCACCCAACTTGCTCCCCAGCCGCTCAGCCCTCGCTGCGCCTCTCGGGGGTGTTGGGACAAGGCGAGCGAAAAGGTGAAAGGTCACGCGGTTGTGCCCGTCACCGCCCAACCTGAGCACCACCCACCCTCGTCACCCACCACTTCACCCACCCAGCCACCCTCAGCCCTTCCCGATCTTCCCGACCCGACATATGGAGGCGTCTACCGTGCGGAGGTTGGACGAGCTGGTTCCATGGCACGCCATGCCTGCCGTGGTCCCCGACGACTACGACGCCGGCAACCCGCTGTGGGAGACTGTGTCGTGGGAAGCTGCCGCCGTGGACACGGACGGCAAGCCCACCCCCCCACCACCTTCCTCCTACCGTCCAGACGACACAGAGTCTGCTGGGGCTTCTTTGGTGTCATCTATGGACATGCCCACCGACCATGTTGTTGCTCGCCTGGACCGGGGCGATGCCGACACGGGCGATGCTGGTGCCGAGACAGAGACTGCGGTGGAGGCCAATGCGGAGGCTCTTGCTGGAGCGAGTGCGATGAGTGGGGCAAAGCCGGTGAGTACGGCAAAGACGGAAGATGACGGAAATGCGAGCGACAGCGAGATCGGCGGAAGTGGCCGGAACAGCCGGAGCAAGGGAAAGTCCGAGAGCCGCAAGGGTAGCAAGACGCTGGATCCGCTACGGGCTCTGGCGGCAGAGCAGCGAGAGGCCGATGCGGCACGGCGAAAGGCTCGCGAGCGGGCTGCGGCTGCGGCCGATGCGGCGGCAGCGGCGGCGCGCAAGGCCGAGACCGCACACCAACGGGACTTGCTACGGGCACGATTCGAGGCCGAGCGGGCAGCGCGCGAGCATGCGCGGGCGCGTGGCGAAGGTGATGACGAGAGCAGCTGCGAGTCGGCCATCAAGTTTCCCATCATGCCGTTTGCCAACTCGAAGATTGTACTCTGGTGCGGAAACGTGTACGATCTGGCAGTGGATGTCATGGTGACAACCAATAACGAAACGCTGTCCGAGACGTCGGGCCTTGCCGGGCGGCTGCTGAAGCTTGCCGGCCCGGAGCTGGTATCCGAGTGCCGGAGCCGCGAGCCGATCCGGACCGGCGAGGTCCGCGAGACGCTGGCGGGCAACCTACCGTGCGCGTATGTGCTGCACACAGTGGCGCCGCGGTTCAACACCAAGTACCGGACCGCAGCTGAGAACGCGCTGCACAACTGCTACCGGAACTGCCTGCAGCGAGTCAAGGAGCTCGAGCTGCGGTCGATCGGATTCTGCGTGGTCCATGGGCAGAAGCGCGGGTTCCCGCGGGCCATCGGGACGCATGTTGCGGTCCGGACCATCCGGCGGTTTGTGGAAAAGTGGCACACCGACATTGACACCATTGTGCTGTGCGTGCCCAATCCGGCCGAGTATGCGGTGTACGCAGCCGTGCTCCCGCTCTACTTTCCGCGCTCGCTTGGCGAAGTCAAGCTCGCGCTGACGCAGCTGCCGGAGGACACCGGTGACATCAATGGCGAGACCATCCTGGAGGAGCGGATCATTCGCATCCGCTCGTCGTTTGGCGTGCGGCGGCTGCGGAGCGGGCCGCACACGCGAGACCACAAAGTCTCGCGAGTCTCAAGGGTGAGCTCTGCCGGGCCGTCGTCGTCTGAAGCAGAGGCCGAGTACGGCTACGAGTACGAGTACGAGTACGCGGGCTATGAGGACGTTGACCTTGTTGCCGGCCCGATCTTGTGGTATGAGCCGCTGCTTCCGGCACCCGGCGCAGGGCCGTCGGGGCCGGACATGGCGGGCAGCGAGGCGTGGAAGAGCAAGAGCGGCGGCGGGGCAGACCAGGACATCTCAGACCTGGCGCGAATGCAGGCGTCGCCAGACGATGTACGGCCGCGGCCGGTGCTGTCCGAGGCCGACCGTCGTGAGGCCGAGCTTGTGCGGCGGTATCAGATGCTGCTCAAGACTGCGGCCGGGATGGATCTCTCAGACATTGAGGCTGCGCGAGTGGTGTATCTCGGCGGACACGACCGAGCAGGGCGGCGGATTGTGGTGTTTGTGGGCGCACGGGTCTCGACGCAGCCGCCCCACCTCGACCGGATCCTGCTGTACACACTGCTGCTGATGGACTCGCTGGTGAGCAAGCGGTACACGTGCGTGTACCTGCACACTGACTCAAAGTCGGAGAACCAGCCGGACACGGCATGGCTCAAGAAGTTGTACTCGATTCTGCCGCCGCTGTACAAGGCCAATGTCAACTCTGTGGTTGTCGTCCACCCGACCTTTTGGCTCAAGACCGTGATGTGGTTTGCCAAGGCCTTTGTCACCGCCAAGTTCTTTACCCGCATTGCGTACTGCAAGTCGCTCGCCGAGCTCTTTGAGCACGTCCACCCGAGCCAGCTCGAACTGCCGCAGCATGTGGTGGGGTACGACGAGGCCAAGTACGGGCCGCTCGACACGCGGGTGTACGGGACCGAGTCGCCTGCGTCGGTGTCTCAGAACGTACTGTAGCGTGCATTGGTCTGCGGCGGCGAGCGCGTGGGTGTTGTTCAATTAGACTTGGGCGCGACCGGATCGGGCGAGTACGGGATGCCAAAGAGTGCGGCGGCAATGGCGGCACGGCGCTGCTTGGCGACGTAGAGAGTGATCGACTTGGTGGTGAAAAAGCCCTGGACGGGAATGGGCTCGGCGCGGTCTGCGCGGGTGGCAAGGACAACAAACGACGATGGGTTGTCCATGGCGTTGATGGCGTCGACAAGCTCCACCAGCTCGGGGTGATCAGAGGCGAGAGTGTCAGTGGGGAGAGTGACCGACTTGGTGATGGCCTCCATGTTGAAAAAGGCAAAGAGCTTGTGGGCCTCGATAGTGACAACATGCCGGGAGAGATAGCGACCCATGAAGGGGAGGCCGTCAAAGCATGGCCGCGCGGGCTGTTCCGGCTTGTACGGCACGGTGAAGGCCGGGATGCCGAGATTGATGATGTTGAGCGCAAGCGAGGGATGGAGCTTGACAGTATCGGTCTCGGGCTGCCCGACGATGGAGCGGGCGTTGGAGGCGTCGACAAGGGCGGCCATGGTGTCGAGCGTCCAGGTGATGACCGAGGTGGCGCCCGAGCCGCGGGCAAGAAAAGCGCCACCGAGGCTTTCGTCGTTGATGCCCCAGTAGGCGCGGGCGGTGTCGAGGGTATCCGAGGCGAGGCGCTCAAACGGCAGGTCAAAGTCGCCGGTGAGCTCAGAGGGGTGCGACGAGAACTTAGTCTTTGCCTTTGCCTTTGCCTTGCTCGAGGTGGCGGCGTCGTCCGTCGGCGGCGGCGGCGAGGGCGGGGCGGCAGCGGCAGCAGCAGCACGGGCGGCGGCGCGGGCGGCGGCACGGGCGGCACGGGGAGTGGTGAACGTCGTGTCGTCGAGCTCGGCCAGGATGGTTCCATCGGGGATGGAGAGCGAAAACTCGGCAACCTTGCGGAAGACGGCAACAAAGAAGCCGCCGGTGTCGCGGTCGTGGGGGAGGACCCGCATGCAGCGGGTGAGGACCGAGGCGTCAAACTCGGGGTCAGTGGGAGGGAAGAACGACGGCTCGCTGTAGGTGCCCTGGTACGGCTGCGGACATGTGTCAGCCGAGTCGATCCACTCGCCGGTGTTGGTCATGACGCGCCAAGTGGTGAGGCCTTTGCGGCGGACGAGGCCCGGGATGCGATCGGAGCAGTCGACGAGCTCGAGACCGCCGTTTGTGCGGAGCAGGATCTGTGCAACGACGGCCTCGTTCTCGACGGGGTTGAGCGAGCAGGTCGAGTACACCAGGTCGCCGCCGAGCTTGGTCAGCTTTGCGCCACGGAGGGCGATGGCGATCTGCAGCGGGTTGAGCGAGACGGCGGTGGAGGGCGTCCAGCTCGCGAAGATCTCCTTGTTCTTGCGCATGGTGCCGTCGCCGGAGCAAGGAACGTCAGCAAAGACGGTGTCGAAGCGGAACGGCTCGTCATTGACGACAAGGGTGGGCAGGTGCTGGGCGGCGTGCGAGACAACCATGTAACGCGGCGAGGAGAGGCGGCGGACTTGGTGGGCGAGCATGTGCGAGCGTTGGCGGTTGAGCTCATTGGCGATGACAAAGCCCTGCGCCGAGTGGTTGTGCAGGCCGCCGGCGGCCTCAGTGAGGGTGTCGAGGATTTGCGCGGTCTTGGAGCCGGGAGCGGCGCAGAGGTCCAGGACGTGCGAGTCTGCGTTGAGGCGAGCCATAGCGACCGGGATCATGGAGACGAGCTCCTGGCGGGTGATGAGTCCGGCCGGCTCGCCAAGCTTGAGGTACTCGTGGAAGTCCTTGACAAGGGTGTGCGAGGAGAGGACGCGACGCGAGCACGGGACCTTCCACACCGCACCCGAGGCATCAAACCACTCGAGCGGATGCGGCGGATCAAGCGGGCCACCCGGAGCAAGAGTGACGCGGTACTTGTCACCGTTTGTTCGCGAGACGACAAAGCGCGGGTTGGCATCATCGGCCGCCTGTGCCGCGGCCCAAGCAGCGCGCGACTCATCGGATGAGGTGGACTCGAAGAGCGAGACAAACTTGTCCTTCATCACCTTGCGGACAGAGTCGGCGTCATCGACTGCTGCCGCCGAATGCGAAAGGTGACCGGGAGCGGCGTGGTGGCCACCTCCAGCAAGGCATCCATCCGCTCAGCGGGCGAGGCATTGGCCTCACGGCCAGCCACCTCGGACGCCGCGGGGCAGGTCTGGTGCACCTCGTTGAGAATGCCTTGGGACTCGTAGTACTTGCGGAAGAGCGGGACTGCCGCGTGCTCCTTGTTGTGGGACATGGTTGCGCGGGGTGCCGGAGGGTGGCGACAAGTGTGTGTGTGTGGAGGGGAGGCGGGCACGAACGGGGAACGGGGGGGGGGGGGGGTGAAGGACAAGGGGGACTAGCGTCGTGGCATCGGAGTTGGGTGCTGGGAGGGGAATGGAGTGCAGTTGATGGTGACGATGGTGATGATGGTGATGTTGTTGTCGTTGCTGCTGCGGACGAAATGGCGGCGTGGTAGTGGTAGCAGGAGAGGCAGCGGTTGTCGCGATGAGGCCGGAGGAGGTGCGTGGTGGAGAGTCGGTTCCGGGTTGTGACGGTCGGAAAAAGGCCAGGGACCAGGGACCAGGGACCAGGGATGAAAGCGTAGGTGTGAGGGGTATGAGAGTGTGGGGGATGCGATGGGGCGAGCGGTGTTAGAGGTCGTCGTCATCGTCATCATCGTCGTCGTCGTCGTTGAGATCAAAGCCGTCATCGTCCTTGAGGAGCTCGAGAACGTTCCGGTAGACGTCTGTGGGCACAGCGTTCTTGTACTCGTTGGCAGCACGCTCTGCGTCCTGGAACAGCTTGACGACGTTTGTGCCGTCCGAGGCCGAGACAAAGTAGAGCGGCAGATCGTGCTTGATGGGAAAGGTGTACTTCTTCTTGGTCATTTTGGGATCGGCATCGATCTTGTTTGCAGCACAGAGGCAAGGAATGTCTGCGCAGTATGTACGGAGCTCTTGGTACCACTGGGAGAGCTGCAGGTACGTCGCCGGGTTTGTCACATCGAATACCAAGATGCAGCAGTGGGCGCCGTGGTAGTACGAGGGATGCATGTTGTCAAAGCGCTCCTGACCAGCCGTGTCCCAGTAGTCGATGGAGACCATAGTGCCATCAATCTCCACCTCGCGTTCGTGCAAGGTCAATGCGTAGGTCGAGTCTTGGTGAGGCTTGTACTCATCCATGAGGTACCGCTCCATGAGCTTGGACTTGCCCACCAACGAGTTGCCCAGGGTGATAATCTTGAGCGCATCCCGTTTCTTGTCTGCCATCCTGGTCACGTGCTCCACCCTTTCTCGCCACTCTTGCCTTGTTCGTCTACCCTCTTGCGGTAGCTGTGGAGGAGTCTTGCCTTCTCTGCACCCTCTCCTTCTGCCTCCCGCCCCCTTCCCCTAACTGGCCCGCGACCTGACCCGCTGGCTGTCAGCCCCACTCGGCGCCATTCGCCATCGATCCAAGACGAGGCGCACTCACACAGATTGTCTTCCACATGCAAGATAGGGCGGTACAACAATGACGGCATGTAGGGTAGGGGCTAGAGGAAGGATTCGGGGGTGGGGATCGGTGTGGGCTTGATCACATGTGTGTTGATGTTGTGGGGAGGGGGAGATATTGGTGTGGTGGCGGGCCGTGGGCGATGCAGGGGAAGCGGCCC